CATACGTTTTGTTTTCTTGCCAATTTTTGTAGGGCACAGTTGAAGTCTTTTTATTTTTCTGTTTTTACACTAAGTCTTTGGGATGTTACGCCTGTCTGTTCACGTCAGCTCACCAATGTGCTCCACAATTTTTTTTTAATAGTTCTCTGGGCAGAAACTTTTTTTTTTTTTGTTCTTCCTCTGCTGTAAACAATCTCTCATGAGTTCTAGTCTCAACCCTCTAAAATTTTTTCTCTGTGATATTTTGTACTTATTTTATTTGTAAACTATCCAACTGTGCCACTTATGTTTAGGATTGAGTAAAACACAGTCATTGGTTAATGCCTTGTGTATCCAGTTACATCATAGTTGTTGCATAACTCATCAACATCTACTCTGCCTTTGGTTTTATTGTAAAAGTTACCATCTCAGACCAGTTTTGTCAGGGTTTTAATACAGTTATAAATAAAGGAGCTGAATCACTTCCTTCCATCCTCTTCCTTTAACTATGAGTGCCAAATACTGCCTAAAGCTACAGCAACCATGAAAGGCTGTAATATGTTCATCAGTAGTCATGTATCCAGATGGTGTGTAAATTGCTTGACCTTTTGAAAGAAAATTCTCAAACGAGTGGCTAACAGCCAGATTATCAGTTCTTTTTCTATCTTGGTGGGTAGTTTTGTCAACAAACCTGAGTTAATTTTGTAAAACATCAAATCTCCTCAGTAAGTCTTTTACATTCCTGTGATTCCTTGAGCATTTTGGCGGGGGGGTGGTACCAGGGATCGAACGTGGGACCTTGTGCTGGCAAGGCAGGTGGTGGAACCACTGAGCTAAATCCCAGCCCTTACATTCCTGTGATTCCCATGAGAAAGCTCTGCTAAGTATGGCAGACCTAAGGGTGCTTTCAGTCTGGCTAGTGTGGTGTCATAATAAATCCACTTTTGAGTATGGGTATTTGTGCGTACAGAATACTTTACTCGTATTTCATCATTTGCATATTTCACAGCATCATATGGCATTTTGTCTGTTACAAATAATTTCCAACATTGAAAGGGAGTCCTGGCATCCCATCCAATCAGGTTTCACTCCTGCTGAAATCCTCACTCTGTTTTCAGATGTAGTTCTAACACTGGAATATTCCATTTGATCGTGTGACCATTTTGTACCATTTTGAGTTGTGAAACATGTACTGATATTGCTGTTTTCTTTGTCATCTGAATCACATGGGTCTTCATACCTGTGTCTGTTTTGGTTGATTCTTCCTCCATTTCACTGTCACAGGAACTTTGGCTCACATGGCCAACATCATCATCTGTGCATCACCTGATGATTCACTTTCACCCTCCTCCAAACTTGCAAATACAATTTTTCATATGTCATTGTTGGGCTACTTTATCCGCTGCAGTCCACCACATCCACTGTTTCACTGTGCTCATACATTTCTCCCTGGAAGCCTCCAGAGTCCCCTGCTATCACTGCAACTCTGTAGGCTCAAGCTTCCTCTCTCATGCTGTGATCCAGGAGTTGGAGAGAATGCAGTTTGTAATGAGCTGGGAGTCAGGGGGAAAGTGGAGTTTGCCATTTCTCTCTTCTGCCTTGGGGTCCATCACCTCGCTCTCCTCATGGACTCCAATTCACCTTTCAGAACGTTCATCACCACTGTTTCTCCCCAATACCATTTTGAGAGATAAAGTGTATCTCATGGAGGGGACAGTGCCACAGAGGTTTAGCCAGTCCCCTCTACTATGCATTTGGTGTTAGCTTTCTTGAAGTTTAACAAGCACCAGAAGAGACATCTTCAGAGCCAAGTCTTGGTACACACTTAGGTCTTCTTGGGACATTGTCCCTAGATGTGGCATGTTCAGGTCAGGCATGATGCAGCTTCCAGGGCATTGCCAGGCTGCTTCCCCAAGATTAGAACCCACCCAAAGAGGAGGTGCCTGCTTCCTGCGTCCTTGTCCTACCCCATGTCACCCTGATGTTCGTCTGTGACAAATGGACAAGTAGAAGAACAAAGAGGAAAAATGTGACTCTTGTTTAAAATCATCCCTGGGATTGATTTTTTGTTTAATGGCAGTTTGCTTTCTTCTTTTGTGAGTTCCCTGATTTTTTTTTTTTTGTCTTTGGCCTATTTTTCCTTTAAATGTTTGTCTGTTTCCCCCCATTGTTGCTTAAAGTCTTTGTGCAGCAGAGATATGAAGCCTTTATCCCTCATGTGTCCTGCAAGAGTTTTCTAGTTTGGCTTTTTGTTTTGTGACTGCTATTTTTAACATAGAAGTCATTTTTTCCGTCAGCCAAATCTTTGTTGTCATATTTTAGATACCTTCCCCAGCTTAAGATGAAATATCTATTCGTGTTTTCTTCTTGGATAATCAAGCTTCTTTCTATATGTCTGATCTTTATGGAGCTAGTTTTGGCATGTACACAGAACTATTTTTTAATGATTAGACAATTTTAATCATATTTTCTGATTATTGATAATACCTAGGAAAGCCAATAATTTTTATGAATTTATTTTAAAATTGGCAGCTTTTTTCAAATTCTTATTGTACTACTTTGTTTTTATAGGTAGAAAATTATATAATTGTCTTTCTAATATTTATACTTGTTTATTTTTTATTTCTTTGGCTTTAGTTTTTAGAACAGCATTAGATAAAAGTATGGGTATTCTGATTTTCTAAATTCAAAATTAATCTACTATTTTCTTATTTTTAAGTTTTAATTTTACACAGTTAACTTACTTTCCCTCTGTCTGATCAGTGACCTCTGTGGTCTGAGTTGGCCAGGCCTCCTGCTGGGACGAGGTGGGTGCACGCACGGCAGTTGAAAGGTGATCCCTGGACACCACACAGGCCAGTCCTCTGTTCAGCTGGAGGGACACAGGGAAGCCTGCACTCGGCACCTGACAGGAGACCTGGGATGCATCTCCCACCTGCATGAGGTGGCACCTTACAGGTGGCTCTGTGTTTCCTGTTCTTCATTGTTCCCTGGAAGACGTACAGCTGCATCACTTATGACAGGACACTTAAAGGATTACACAACTGCATTGCTAGGCAACTCCATGGTAGTTGTGCTACTGTCAGAATGTGGACTTACTCAGCCTCGATGGCACAGCCATCACACACCAAGCACTTGTACAGCAAGATATGGCACAGCCTGGTGTCCCCAGGGCCACAATGACAGCACCAGATCAGAAAGAGCAAGAAAAAGGGAAGAGGATCAAGAGATGCAGGGAATTCAGGAGGTGGGGAGTGAAAACAATGAAGCCACATTCGTGTACAACTCCACAATGAGTGCAATCACTGTACTGTGAAAGTGGGTACAGTACCAATAAAAAAGTTTTAAAAATGAGCAAGAAGGGCTGGGATTTATCTCAGTGGTTCTGGCGACTGCCTCACAAGCGCAAGGACTTCAGTTCGATCCCCAGTACCAAAAAAAAAAAAAAAGAGCAAGAAAAATGTTACAGTCAAGGGTACCTGAGTTGTGTGAGGCTACCGCAGCATGATGCTACTGACACTCATGCCTTTATAGTAAAGTGCTCTTTGGAGGAGGAGGAACATGCTCTGAAATGATACTAGTGCCATAAATACACGGATGACACAGTTGCTCACCATCAAGTGTCACACACCGTCTGTGATGTACCTTCATACGTCTGGCGCGTGGGGGGTGGGTTCACACAGCCTCCTCTTATAGACAACTGCATGATGCCTTGTGCCGCAGTGTTGTGACAGCTACAAAGGCAGCAGGGATTTTCCTATAATTTACAGAGCCACTATCGCTGGTCTGGTCTGTCCTTGACTGAGGACCCTTATGCCAGGTGCAGTTAAATTCCAAAGTCTCAGATCACCTACTTGCTGTTTGTGAAAGCTGAGAATGGGAGAAGGGTGAGCCACACTTGCCCCACCCACACACTCCAAAGGATTGGAGGAGGCCTGGGAACCGTGCAGCATGGAGTCCCGCTGCCTCTGCCCCATCGACCATCCCCCATCTTTGCAGAGCACCCCACTCACCACAGTTCCTTGTGCTTCAGGGCAAGTCCACTGCCCAAGTTGGGACGTCCCCTGCTGACCTGGAGAGAGGCTATGCTGCCAGCTTCCTGCTTCACAGAGGCATGGCAGCTTCTAGGGAGGGCAGGTGGCACCTTCGCACCTGAGGGTGTCCTCCATGAATTCCACGCACATCTGATGCCCAGCTGACTTTCAGCAGATGCCCAAGGATGACGGATAGGGAGGCTTTTGGGAGGCTGGCTGCAGACTGAGGGCACACACTGATTGCTGAAAGAAGTGTGGCCAGGAAGGTGGGGAAAAACATACCTCATGGGTGTTGTCCTGCCTGGGTCAGGTACTCCTGAGCTAGGAGCTGGAAACAGGTTCACATTTCCTGGCACTTGCTGCAGCCATGTCTCTGCTCCTTGCTCCTCTGCCCACAGCCCAAATAGTCTCTATCTCTTCTGGGTCCTTCCTCTCACCCTACACACCCTGTCGTTTGTCTCTGGAGTTTCTAGACCCAGAACAGTGTGCCTAAGTGCTTCCTCTCATATCCTGTCTAGGCTCCTTGAGAGCTCCTCTCCCTTCCCTGCATCTGCTTCCTGTGTGCAGCTGTTCCCACATGGCACTTATGTGCTGGATGTGCTGGGGGAACTAAGGATGAGAGGGTGCAAAGCTCCCTGGATTCACGGCTCTAAATCATGCACTTGGCTTGGGTCACTTCTCCTTTTGTTCTTGCTTGGAGCCAGAAACAAAGCATGTTATTCTTAGCTGAATTTATTTTTATCCAGTATGTTTTTCTTTCATTAAATAAATCATAGAAGCCTGTGTCTTAAAACTGCAACTATATTTGGAATTGTCAGGTTCCCTGGTGGTGACATGGGGCCATGCTCACCCTCATCAGAGCAAGATGGTGGATGGAAGGGAAGGCTGAGTGAACCCCATAGCTTCCTGGATCTGCTCCTGGCCTCTACATCTAACCAGTCTCTTGTTTTCCTTTTGGGGTGTGCATGGCGGCTCTGGAATCTCCAGGATGAAGTTCTGACCGTGATCCGCCGTGTGGATGACAACTGGGCAGAGGGCATGCTGGGAGACCGGATTGGGATCTTTCCTCTGCTATATGTGCAGGTAAGCCCTTGCCTGTGCCTGGGCCACTGTGTCAGCCTAGGAGCCCGCTCCAGGGGAGATGAGGTCCTCCAGCTAATGGAGCTCACTCACACCACCTGTTGGTGTGCAAGAGTGGCTGTGGCCAGCATGAACACCTACACCCCAGAGCCTTCTCAGATTCCTGTGTTGCACTGTTTTCCTGATAGGTCCCACATCCTGTTATTCTATTCCCCTAGCCCTGAGGATAAAAGTGCCCCCCCCTTCAGGATTTCTTGTAATGCACAGGGCTGGAGACCATGTTGCTCCTCCTGCCACTCACAGCTTGTGCCTGCATTGAGGCCCCTTGATTCCTGCCTCTTTTCTGTCACCAGGAAGCACTTGGTTCCTGGGGGTACCCTTAGGGTAGTGGCAGGAAGGGGACCATCTGAAATGCTGTCCCCTTGGGCTATTTGTGTGGGTGTCTGCCCCTGGCATGTGTGTTCTCTGGCTGTCAGTGTAAGGCCACGTGCAGGCATCCTTTCATCCTGTCACCTCTAGTCATCCAGTACTAGCATCCTTTCATCTGGGGCTGACTGAGGGCCAAATGCTTCTGAGAACCTCTCTAAACTTTGCAGTAATGTGGGGAACTGAGAATGATGGATACATCTACTGCACAGATGAGCAGACAGAGGCACCAGGGGTCTGGGGGTAGCCAACCCCACCGCGAGTTGATGCTGTGCTGGAGTTGAACACAGGCTGTCTGGCCCCATATTCACCCTTCTTTATCCTGCCCATGGTACCCCAGTGCCACTTCTGTCAGTGTGCGGAAGGATCTTCCCTCTTCAGTGAGTGTGGATGCTGCAGATGTGGCATCTAGGACTCTTCTCTATCTTTCCTCTTCCTCCCTCTTTCCTAAATATCTGGACAAGTGTTTCCCTCACATCTACCCTGGATAAGCTTTCTAGGAGATCCTAAATACCTTTCATGATGGTATCCACACACTCTGTGTCTAGGTCACTTGGAGTACCTGGCAGGCATCTGCATCGCTGTGACAGTACCTGAGGAAATCAACTGACAGAAGGAGAGGGCAGGTGGGGTGACACCGGGGACCTCCATTGGGAGGTCAAGGCAGGTGGATCTCGAGTTTGGTGACAGCATGGGGAATTTAGTAGGACCTTGTCTCAAAAAAGGCCGGGGGGGCAGCAGAGGTGCAGCACAGCAGTAGAGCACTTTCCTGGCAAGCCCAGGCCCTGGGCTCAATCCCTACCATCACAAAATAACAACAACAACAACAATAATAATAGGAAAGATTTATTTTGGATCTCAGTTTCAGAGTTTCGGTCCATGGTTTCTGGGCTCTGTTGCTTCTGGGCTGTGGTGAAGCTAAATATCATAGCAGAGAGCACATGGTAGAAAAAAATCAGCTCAACTGGGGCAAACAGGAGGAGTGGGGAGCAAGACACTGTCTCCAAGGGCTGTGGCTCCTATGACACACTTGCTTCAAGAAGCCCCCACTCACTGAGTTTCCATCAACCCCAGCATTGTAACCTTGCTATGGATCCAAGTAGATTAATCTAAAGATGCAGTAGGTGACCTCAAAATTCAGTCTCTATCCAGCATCCCTGAGTGTGAACCCATGAGCTAGCAGTTGGGGGCACTTCAGGTCCAGATATGTGCATTGTCCTGACCACTGTGTCAGGTCCCCATGCTTGTGTGGCATTTCTGCAGCCCAGGCCAGGAATTCTTATCCATCTTGCTGCTGAAGATGAGGACTTAATACATGAACACCAACCACCAGGTACTCTAAAAGTCCTACATGGGAGCCCCCAAATATTTTTAGCCAGTGAAACATTTTCTCAGGCAAGATCTCAAGGGATACCCAAAGAAAGCATGCAGAAATGCTGTTAGAAACTTTGTAACTGTGGCTCAGGTGGAAACAATTCCAGTGTCCATGGAGTGAAATAGCTGAGGACAAAGATGGCGAACCAAAGATGGTGGAAACAAAAATGCTGCTTTGAGAAGTAAGGATGAATATGCCGCAGCATCACCTAAACTCACCCATGTAGGGACCCAGAGCCCTGACCTCACTTTGGATATGTGCTGTCTTACCTGTGTAAGGATGCACTGTCCTCCTGCTGTGCCCTTCTACACGATCCTCAATCTCAGTGCAAAACTGTCAGGTTTATGTGCAGGTGTGCAGCTGTAGTCCTGCCAGCTCACCAAGGGACTCATACTGGGCCTTGCCCCACCTGGCCTCTGCAACTGTGTGCAGTCAGCCTGGGATAGCCAAACTGTGGTGAGCCTGATAAACAAGTGCGTGTCCTGAAAACCCGCCTAGACCTCTTGCTGGGTAGATAGTGAGACCCAGGGTACAGATGTGACTGAAACTAATCTTTCCTCTGTTTCCAGCATCAACTCTGCAGAGGCTAACCCTGTCCCAAAACTGTAGAATAATCCTCCTGTCCTCCCTGCAGCCCCTAGACACCAGCTGCCAACGTGTCAATATCAGGGGCCGAGCTGCTGGCCCCAGGCCCTTTCCTGTCCCTGTTGTGCTTCCTGGGACTCCTCCCACCCTGTTTTGCTCTGCTTCCTGCTGCCCTGCCCCAGTCCCATGGCCCAGCACTACCTACTTGTTCCTCTCACCCCTCCGTTTTTGTGCACAATCACCCTTCATCAACCTACCCCCTCTCCAGAGACCAAGTGTACCCACCCAGACACCAGATGTCAGGCAGGTGCACTGCTGCGACCCAGGCTGACCTTGCTCTTCCCATGAGGGATATGCAGAGAGCAAGGCTGGGCACTCACGCTTGGGAATCCATCCAGGAAGGGACCAGGATTGAGTCCAGACACTCTGCAAGGTCTTCCTTTTGTGTCCTTGAGGACACAGATTCATCATTTCAGATTTTCAGAACACCTTGTTCTAAGAATCTGTCTGAGGGAGTCCCTCCTTCCCATGTCACAGTGCCACCTGAGGTCGGGAGTGTAGTGCCACAGTGAAGAGTTGCCTTCAGTCTGGGCCCTGCCCTGTCACAGAGCGCCCCACCCCGGTACCCCTAGCCAGCCAGTCCCTTTCCTGAGGGCACCCATACAACCTAGTCAGCCCAGAACTCAGACCTCAGAGCCACAGTGACCCAGTGGCAGCACCACAGCCCAGCAGGTCAGGGAGGTCTGGGCTTCACTGGAACATAGCTGTGTATGTGTGGCCAGCTTCTTCACCTTCCCTGCTCTCAAGAGACCTGTGTCCTGCAGGGGCTGGAGCCCAGAGCACTGGTGTATTTCAGTTCTGGGTTCTGGGCAGTAGAGAGATAGGGTGGGTGCCGGCTCTAGGAAGCAAGGAAGCCTCATCCCAGGTGCGAGGACCATGTGGTGGTGGGTACAGACCTCTGGCCTTGAGCCAGACACCAGCCTTCTGTGTGATGTCCATCTCTGTGGCCCCAGTTGTATGTGAAGGAACCCTGTGTGTTGTGTGGAAACTGTTGATATGATCTGTGGATCCTGGACAAGGTGTGAGCAGTAAAACTGAAATCCTTATTGAGCCCAATAAGTGAAATCCTTCTCCCAAGTAGGAAACTTAGTGTGAGACTCAGTGTGTGAGACACAGTGTGAAACTCACTATGAGAGGCTCAGTTGGTGTGTGAAACTCTGAGACACCATGGCTCTGGAAGGGCGTCTCCCCCACACAGTGTGTCCGAAGTTAGAAATCGAGGCTTGCTGCACACAAGCCTTATTTGGATCTGAAGGAATGTGAGGAGGGCTTAGCCACTGAGAGACTGACGAGGTGGCTGAGCATGTTGGTGGAGAACTAGGATGGGAGGCCTGTGGGAAGTACTGTCCGCTCATGTGAACGTGGCTCTTGTGCCTCAGGCCTCTGTGCTTCCTTACCAGTGTGTCGCTCACAGGGACAAGATTAACCCCAAAGCTATGGGGTGTTTTCACCCACCTTGAACTCGCGTATATCCCTTGCTGACCTTAGTGCTTCTGCCCTCGCCCCCTGTCCATGTTATTTACATGTAGGAATGAGGCCCTCAGCTGCCTTCCCTGGGCCTCCAAGCTTGACAGATGCCAGGTTCCTACCTGACCTCAGTAGGCCCTGCGCATTCCTGCTGTCAGGAGTGGAGTGAGGGATACCTGGCAGGTGGCTGTAAACCCCAGGCCACCACCCTGCAGCGTCCCACCCAGTGACCTGCCCCATCACCAGGCCTAAACTGCCCACCTCACCCCCAGAATAGAACAAGACCCCCGGCACTGGAGTGAGACAGTCAGGAATTATCATGCACGTTTTTAAAGAACAAATGTTGTGTGTGTTTAAGGTCTACAACACATCTTATGACACACTCATATATGGCAGAGTAGCTGCAGTAGTGAAGAAAATACTGTGTCCTCCACCCCAGAGTGTATGTCTTCTTCTTGATAAGAGCAGCATCATCAGAGCTCAGCAGAGCCCTGATGGGGAGCGCTCCATGTTGTTGTTCTGCTCCTTGGACTGTTCACCCTGTACCTGTTGCTCTGTGTCCTTGGATGACACAGGTTCATTTCTTCCCCATACCCTGGTGAGCACTGTGTTATTCTGTCTTTATGATATTTGACCTTTTTAAATAGTGTCCATACATAAAGGACTTCTTACATACATAATTCTTCCTGGGTCTGACTCATTTCATGCAGCATCACACACTCTAGGCTATAGATCTAGCAGATCTATATTTAAATAGGTTGGGGTACAACTGTAGTCCCAGCTACTTGGGAGCTGAGGCAGAAGGATTATGTAAGCCCAGAAGTTCCAGGCCAGCCTGGAAAAGACAGTGAGACCCTGGCTTAGAAAAACGAAACAAATACAAATTAATTGAATTTTAAAAAATAAAGAAGTTGGGGAAGAAACTTGTTTTTTCAGATTCCATGCAGCCCCAGGGTGAGCCCTGGCCTAGGAAGTGGACCCACCTCTTGTTGGAGACCTTTTCTAAGGCCACTGTGTTCCTAGAGCAGCCTGGTCAAGGTAGCTGTTTGCCAGATGTGGTGGCAAAGGTAGGTGTGGCTGTGGGGAGGCA